AGGAGCCAAAGAGCTAGAAGAAGAGAAAGTTTTGGCACAATTCTCTCTCCTGCCCCTTTGGACCTTTTTTTGAACAACAGCTTGTTCTTCTTTTTCTTTTTGTGCTGTGTCTTTTTTTGTTGAAAGTTCACGAAGTGTCTGTTTGGGAATTTTCGAATTCCCGCGAGATTTGTGAACTTTTAAAATAGGCATGGTCATATGTATACGAGTTTGGGTTGAAAGTTTCAACTTGAAACTTTGAATGTTCCCTGTTTCAGAAATGTCATATTTTTGTAGCTATTTTTTCATCTTGATTAAGTCCTTGGTATTCCGAATTGTCATGTTTTTTTTCACAAAAACCACATTTTCAAATTGCCCGCTTTTGTTTGATATAGTTAAAAAACGTATAATGGGTCGAAATGGGAAAACTTTGATCTTCAAAAGTTTTGGAATAGTTTTTTTCAACTGTTTCAAATTAACGATAATGTTCTAATGTAGGCTGTCTATTTGATAGTACATTTTTCGTCGACCCTGCACCTTCAACTGTTGTCACAAGCTCCAACTCCTCCAGGTGGCTTATATGAACAAATATTCTAGAAAGTTTTATTTCCTACCACCTTTAAACCTCGAAGAATCAAGTTTTATGGTTTGGCAGAATAGAAGTTATGGAATCGGATCAGTAAAATTTGGACCAAAAAAAAAGGATTTGTGAATTTCTTTAAAAAGTTATTTTTCACCTTCAAAAAGTACATCAACCATTTGTAATTATGAGAGTTTACTGATACAAATATTTGAAAAACACTGAACTACGATATTTTTAATTGTTACGTTTATTAGGTGTATTTTTACATACTTTTCCGGTATTTACCTTTCTAGAAATTTGAGATTTCAGAAAGTCTATGTATAGCAACATGTATATAGAACCTACACTTGAACTTTCCTTTAATCAAATTATCAAAACATTTTCTTTTTGTTTAAGTTTGATTTAAAACTACATACATAGAAGCGGAGAAAACTGATAAATGAGTCATCAACCTAAACTTACTGTTTCCTATAAGCCATGTATTTTTGAACATCTTAAACACAATGATATGTGCAGTGCATCATAACCTTTGACCTAACTTTACCAAGCGCCTAACTTTCACTCAACTTATCTCCATTCCTGTGAAAGATGTCAGAAAAAAAAACTGATAAAACGTTCATCATAAAATGAACAATATTTTGTCAGTCAACCATTTTTTGATATCTAGAATAGGAATTAAGATGAATCTTTCACAGGAACAGCTTAAATCAAACCACTGAAAATTTCCAAAAAAAAAACCAATTGTGTTCTCAAGAGTAGTTGTTAAAACTATTAGAACATTCTGACTAACATGATCGCTTTTGAAAAATTCCGAAATTGCCGCTGCATTGCTTCAATAAGTTTTCAAAGTTGATCGTGAGCCACTGTTCGTTGAATTTGCGGCGACTGATCATGTTAGTGGTTCAAATTCGGAGGGGAAGTCCATTTTCCAATGAATTTGCATTTTCTACATATAAATAACTTACCTATGAAACAGTATCTCCAATTTCCAAAATTTTACTTTGAATTCAAGAATCATTATTCCTTTAATTTAATATTCATCTTCCCAACTCCCCTTGTCCTTCCACCTGATGTCTGCCCTGAACTTTTGCTCTAATTTGAATGAGCACACATACACATAGTCCAACTAACACATGTCAATTCGTCCAACTACATATGTCCGAGAGAATTCAGATGAAATTTACATGATCTCTGAATGAACCCGTGTAGCAGCAGGGCTAATCCGCTTTTCTTCTTCTTCTTCATCTCCTACTCCTCGTCTTCTTCCCACATTTTTTCATTTCTTCTATGAATTCAGAAGAAATGAATGTGTGCGTAGCTAGATATCTAGACCTTTTTCATTGTCCCCGTGTCATATAATAAAATTTGTAAAGCGATTTGTATGCGATTTGCAGAGAGATTCGAAATGATCTCTGTTGGAAGACACCTTTATCAATAGAGCACGTTAGAACTTCCTGCTTCTCATGTTTATCTGAAATTTCTGATTTTTTCGCCTACTCACACGCTGGAAATATAATGAGGCACCACCAAGCTCATTAAATTTTTTCTTTGTCTAGCTACACGGTATCCCCACACGAACTTCCTTTTAAGATGTTCAGGAGGAGCTATTTTTAGGGCCGGGCTGTTTTTTTTTTGAGAGGATTGGTTTTGGAGAGATCATGAGAAGAAGTATCCGAAGAATTAGCATTCCATGATTACCAAAAATATCATATCACAGTTTCATGAAACTGAAAAATAGTGAGTAGCGAATTTTAGTTTAATTGCTAGACATTGATTTTAGGAAAAAATATTTTTCATAGAATCAACTCGCTTCTCCGTCCTGAAGCTCCTAATGTCCCTTATTTTGATCTACGGATCCTTCCCAATAGTCCAAAAGCCCCTTTTTGGATCGAAGGACTTTTGACGGACGGTTATATTTTCTGCTTTTATCTCCTGAGCTACCCGGTCGAGTTTTTAACCCCCATTTCAGATAAATTACGAAAATGGGGTTCTTGAGATTTTTTGAAATTTACTGTTTTATATTCTCCAGTTATCAGAAACTTGGGAAAATTTTTCAATTCGTTGTGTGTGTTGTTATAGGAGTTAAGAAAATTTTACGAAAATTGTAACATCAACATCTATTTATACTGAACGTTCCATTTTTAGCGAACTTTTGAGAATCTTGAAAGTTTTTGGAAATTTCTGTGCTTCAAAATTTTCCCAGTTACACAATTGCCATTTTTTGAAATTAATTCAATGATTTTAGTAAGTCGGTATTTTTCAATAATTTCAAAGTTTTTCCTTGATTTTTGGGATTTTTGAGACTTGTTGAGGCTCAGAACAGATGCCTGAATGCTGATTAGAATTTTCGAAAATAATTGTTTTTTCCAAAATTTCCGTTTCAAATTTTCCATTTTTGATCTCTTTCTTAAATTTTTTTAATTCTCCAGTAACAAAGAGTTTTCAATCCCAGACAAAAAATGTCAGACACTTACAATTTAATTGACTTTTCAGCCTTTCAGCGCACAAAGTCAGCTTTCTCTCTCTCTCTCTCTCTCTCTCTCTCTCTCTCTCTCTCTCTCTCTCTCTCTCTCTCTCTCTCTCTTTCCATCTTTCATCATTTATTGATTATTTGTTTGTGATATCATTTTTGAGGAATTACAAAAACTTTGTGGGTGGATTTGGAGTATAAAACTTGTTTTCTATGTTTCAATTGGTTGAAAAGATATTGATATTTAAATGTTTTTGGATCAAATTGAAAAGTTTTCGTTTCAATAATGTTGGAATAGATTCAGGGTTGAATCTTCTTTGATATCTCACTCTTCTCAAAAGCTATATGCATGAGAAATCCCTGTTTCGAAAACGTTGTAAAACATTTAGAACTTTACTTTGTTGTAATTTGTAATTTTGTAATTTGTTTATTGATTATTGGTGTTAATGGCCCAGTTTCCAAGAACAAAAAATTGTGTTTGAAGTAAAGCGGATTTTACTATTTTCTTCCAAAAATTACTGTTTCCAATCAATAATTTTCGTAGCTCAAGTTTTTGAACTCAATAATCCATTCTTGTCGCTACAAATTCTTTTTGATTTCCTTTTGTTTTGAAGTTCCAATTTTTTTTCTCAATGTGAAAAAACTATGAAACACCGGTTTCAGAATGACCATACAGATCCGAGGCAATTCTGATGATTTAATCAGATTTGGCAATGATATTTTAAAATATACAATTTTTTCCAAAATAAAGTGTGCTCAAAAAGTCACACTTTTCCCTCCGAAATGATTCATTTTCTCTGACTTGATCTAGTTCTATGTGATTCATCATTTTTCAAACTTTAAAAAGGCAAAAGAACGAATAATTTAACGTCAATCAATGAGTTTCCTATTAAGTAGAACGGAACACACAAGTGATATAAAATTAATAAGAGAGACGAAAAGAAAATAAAAAAGTTGAAGTGGTAAAATGCGTAAAAATGATATCAGTCTTTTACTGTTTCAAGTTGGTTTTCAATTTTTTTGGAAGATCTTTTCTTTAGTAAAATTTGCACTAACGCATTGAGCTCAATTATCTCGGTTCTTATAAGAGATATCAAAAATTTGTCAACTGATAAAAGATTTATCATAATACACTAGCAAAATTTTTGTAGATTACAGGTTTTTGATATGGCCTATGGGAACGGAGATAATTGAGCCCAAAGAGCAAGTCCCGCTGTGGCCGTGTAGCGGCCATCTCAGTTTTGCTGTTTCAAATTTTCAATAAGATTTCAAAACTTTAAAATTTTTTGAAATTAATTCAATGATTTTAGTAAGTCGGTATTTTTCAATAATTTCAAAGTTTTTCCTTGATTTTTGGGATTTTTGAGACTTGTTGAGGCTCAGAACAGATGCCTGAATGCTGATTAGAATTTTCGAAAATAATTGTTTTTTCCAAAATTTCCGTTTCAAATTTTCCATTTTTGATCTCTTTCTTAAATTTTTTTAATTCTCCAGTAACAAAGAGTTTTCAATCCCAGACAAAAAATGTCAGACACTTACAATTTAATTGACTTTTCAGCCTTTCAGCGCACAAAGTCAGCTTTCTCTCTCTCTCTCTCTCTCTCTCTCTCTCTCTCTCTCTCTCTCTCTCTCTCTCTCTCTCTCTCTCTCTCTCTCTCTCTCTCTCTCTCTCTCTTTTCCCTCATAAAACTTGTGAATGCTGACTATACGTTCTCCCAGGTTTTATTCTGCTTATCACAACGTCCAACAAGTTTTTTGAACATTTCCTATACTCTTGTTTCTTTTTTCCCATTTTTCCTGTTTCGCTACCTTCGTTTTTGCTCCTTTACTTTTTTGCACTAACCAATATAATTTTTCCAGAAATCATAGTCATCAACAGGACACCGCCCATTTCCCCAGATTCCAGTGAATAAAAAAAATGCCCTCGAAAAGAGCCACTTCATAACCACATACACGCTACAAAAAATAATGCTGTTTCACTCAATTTTCTGGTTGGCTCTGTTCTGCTTGGCTGGCCCGCAAGCGGTACGCACCGAGCCGTACAATTTGACATCTGTGGGCTCCGCTGACGTCATCACATCGTCGGATTTATTGCTGTTGGCGTCGGAGGAGACACCGACGAGGGCGCCGCGACCCGTGACAAAACAGGGCGCTGCCAAGGTGACAAAGGTGGAGAAGAAGAGAAGAATAATGAAGATGAGAAAGAGGAACTGAAGAAGAACAATGGGACAGAAGACGTGGAAACAGTGACGCCTTCTGAGGACCCACTATGGGTTACGGATTGCTCGGAACCTCTCAATAAGGATATTTCGTGCTCTGTGAATATTAGTAAGTGGAGCTACACAATTATAGATCTTGCCTGTTTCAAATATGTCAAATTGCTCAAAATACTTCTTTCCTCTAATCCGATGTTTCTGTTCCTAAAACTCTTTATTTTGCCGTAATTGGAAAAATTCTTTTTAGTCGGTTGCTCGGACAATGTCTACAAGTACGTGGAGCCGGGACTTGAGCCCCCGCGAGCTCATGACGTTCGAGTTGCACCAACCACCAAGGTCCGCGGAGCAAACAAGATAGATAATCGGAAGCATCGACTCCACGTGGATGTCTCCTGGCAAATGCCCCAACTCGAGCGGAATACGACATTGAAGGCGTTCAAATTGATAGTCAATGGTCCGGATGGAAGAAACACATGTTTTGTGTTCAATGTGACCCAGACTGCAAAGCGGGAGGATATGTCGGTGAGTCCGGCCTCGGTTTTCAAAAATTAGAAAAACACCTAAATTTTGCACACGGAGCTTCACTGAAATACTTTTTTCAGTCGAATTTGTCTCTCGAATCAAAGTTTTTAATAAAAAATAACATTTTATGGAAATTCTGAAAAAGTAATTTTTCCAACTTTTTCTAGTCAGAAATTAAAACTTCTGATTCCAGTTAGAGAAAAATATAAATTACTGTTCAAAAATAAACATTTCTACAAGAGAAATCACCAAGAAACATTGGGTCTCCGTGAATATATCAAAATTTGGTTTTGAAAGTAAAATTACCGTAAAACCTCTAATAGAACGACACCCGGATCGTCCACTTTGAGCCTATATATCTCACTTCTTTTGAAAGATATCAAAAAGTGGTTAACTAGTAAAATGTTTATCAGGATATCAGCAACATTTTATTAGTTAGCCACTTTTTGATATCTTTTACAGAAAATGAGATATATAGGCTCANAGTGNNCGATCCGGGTGTCGTTCTTAATAGAGGTTTTACGGTATATGGAAATTCGGAAAAGGTGATTTATTGAAACTGGAATTTATGATTGAAATCCTGGAAAAAATTTTTGCCAACTGATAATATGTTTGTTGGTGATATGATAAACATTTCATCAGTTGCCAAAATTTTCAGAGCTCTTACAAGAACCCAGATAAACTTAAAGTCCAAGTTTAGGACAAGTTAAAAATACGTAATTTAAATCAAGTTTTTTTTAAAAATAAAAATTAAAGGTGGGGGGACATGAAAGAAAAAATGTTCTCGAAATTCCGTTCAAAGATACCCTCGAGGAGTTGAACTTGTGAAGGCGATGATTGAGGGTACGGCGCCGCTACCGACTGAGGCCACGCGGGCAAAGAGAAAGCGGACGCCCGATTGGTACATAAAGGCGAGGACGACAGCTGTACGCAGAGTGACATTAAGCGTTGTACACCGTGACGGTAGAATGCATACTCTAGCTACAAAAAAACTACGAAAAATCTCCTGTCCCCCCACCTTTAATGGAAATTCTGAAAATGTGATTTTTCCAACTTGAATTTCTCCAAACTTTGGAAGTCTTTGAAAAATATACATAGATATTAAGAATTTGTCAACTGATAAAACTCAAATTTCGAAAATCTTTCAGCCCCGCTACCGTTTCTCCTCCAACACTCTCTTCGAGTTTGGTGACACTTACACCGTCACCGTCGTCAGTCTTCCAATATCGAGGAAACGTGCACCAAAAGTGTCAACCACGAGTCTGATGCCCGATGATCCGGATGCAGCACTTTCAACGAAACTCGTGAAAACACACCCGGCAACGTGCACCGGCAAATGTGAGATTAAAAATTGAGCATGAAAGGATTATAAACGTTTTTTCCAGCAAATCCGCAAGCGTCAAAATGGGCAGCCAGCTTCCGGAAAATATTCTTGTTCAGTGCGATTCGAATGATTCAGATTGAGTTCCTCGCCGCACCTCCACAATATTGTTTTGAGGAGTATGAGGTAAGGGACTTTGAATTTTCCAGAGAATGTATTTCCAAATTATATAGGTCCGTCTTCTGGATAGCTCTGGCATCGTAATGCTTCAATACGCTGTGATCTCTAAAGAAGATCTCAAAACGGAGACAATAAACGGGAAAAAGGTCCAATTCGGGGAATACAATTTCACGGATATTGAGCTGGACACCAATGTGATTCCATCAGTCATTCCGATTGAAACCAGTCGTGATGGTCGATGCTTGTGTGAGACTGAAAATGGTTGCAGCTGCTTGGCAGCTGATTGGAAGCCAGTTAAATTGACAAGTGAGTCAGAAGAAACAATATTGAGAGATGGTGTATATGAAAATGTTTCAGAGATAGAAAAGCCGCCAATGCAGACGAATGAGACGGTGGAGATGGATGATATGGCGCAGAAGGATCGGACGGATCCCGGGACGTGGCATTGGTAAGGGATTATTTTATTGTTTTCAGTAGAGCGTAATTACGTCAATAGTGCGATGATTATATCTTGACTGTTTTTCTTACATCTGAGCGTTGCAATCAGTGTTGTTTGATAATCGCACTCTTATACCAAATGAAGCGATTTCGCAACGCTATGATTTATACATTGTTCTGTTTCAAGAAATTAATAAGCAGTTGGAGTTACATGAAACAAGTTATTTTGCGAGAATATTCCTATCATAATGATACTTTTTCATAACCGATTTTCTTCAAAACCTGTAATAGAAGGGCCTCCAAATTTTCATGATAATTGCGGTTTGAAATAGAGCATAATGTATTCAGTTTTTAAAACAACCTATTAGCACAATTAAAACATACTAGTAGAATAATAAAACATACTTTAAAACATACAGTATGTAACACATTACATACTAGTAACACATTAGTAGCACAGTTTCCCTACGATTATGAAGTTGAAAAGTGTATTTCGATGATAAATTTCACTGTTTTAAAAACATCATATTTAATAACTTAACAGCAAACAATGATTCATTACTTGATGACAATAGTCTTTATACGCAAGATGACGACGACACTAAACATCGAGCCTTAGAAGAAACTAATTCTCTATACAGCGCATTTCCAGGCACACCTACGCCCTCACCGGTGTGATTCTCTTGGTTATCGTATTCGTTCTCCTGATATGTTCTGGTCCCAAATGCTACCGAAGATTCCGAAAGACGAAAAAAGCCGGAAATGTGCATTTGATGAATGAGAACCCGGCGTTCTCACACTCTGGATCGATTCCGTTGATTTTGAAGCGTAAGTGTTTTTCTTCTCGAAATTACTGCTTCACATCGTTCATATTATAGTTAGATGGTTAATCTTAATAATTGAATCACTTCAATCGGTGGAGAGTTAAAACTAATTTTTCTCCAGAATCCGTCTCTGTCCTAATCCTCTACAGTCACGATTCGGCCCAACATGAAGCGGCGGTTCTGGCGTTCGCTGAACTTTTAAGAGATGTGTTCCATTTGAATGTTCATGTGAGTCATAGAAACTGAGGCATACAAGAACCTCCCAAGATTTCACTGTTTCCTAGTTTGAGTTTATCCAGTAAAGTTCAAATTCAATATTATCGTCTGAAAATAAACACCTACTGTATTTGCTCTAATAGAATTCCACCCGAACTGTCAACTTTGAGCTCTATTATCTCGATTCCTGACTTTCACTATAACCGAGATAACTGAGCTCAAAGTTTAAGGCTTGGCTGGGCTTTGAGAAAATACGGTAACTGACAAACGCCCTAATTTTTTTTCAAAATTCAAACTGAACATTTCCAGCTCGACGCATGGGACGAGGATGATATTGAAGAGAATCGTGCGGAGTATATCAATGCCAGTATAGTAAGAGCTGATAAGGTGATACTAATCAACTCTATCGGAGCCTACTACCGAACCATTTTCCGTCATAAAATGGAGCCAGCATTAGAGAGAGTGGTCCGAGGGAGAAACGATGGAATTTTCCACCTGCAATGTGAACTGGCGTTACAGTAAGAATTCTAGATTTTTTAAAGTTTTTCCACCTACTACTCTTTTCAGACACCCCTGCGTCATCTCCTGTCACTTCAACTACACCAACCCCAAATACATTCTGTTCCCTGTAACACGCCTTCTACAGTACGCCATCCCAGACAACCTAATGACCATGACTACATCGCTCACCGGTCAACCAGCCCGACCGGAACAGTTGGCTGGCTTCAACCAATCTTTTGCTAGGTTACAAGCAGCAGTTTCACGGAAAGCGCATTACATAGAGAGTGATCCTCAGTGGTTCGAGAATACGCATCATAGAGTGGCACCAAATCCAGTGATCCCTGAGGAAGAGAAGCCGGTGATTGAAGTGGTTCCATTGCCGCCAAGTTTAAGGTTGGCGACGGAGTATGAGAATATGGAGACGATGGCAATGGACGACTTGGAGAAAAAGTTGGAAAAGAGTCAGGAGCCATCCGATGTTACTGTAGAAATAGAAGAGGATCATAACATCACTCTAGATTATGGACCAAGGAAGTCGGACTTGTTAGGGTACATGGAACCAAGTTCTGCGAATGATGTCACCATAGACTTGGAAGAGGAAGAAGATGACGTGGATTCGATGGAAGATTCTAGTCCGACTGCGCGGATAGAAGAGCTGCAAAGGCTGATAGTGAGCACTGATAAGGGGCATGATTCGGGAAATTTGGATTCGGCGTATGTTAGTGGATCTGATTTCTCGACGGATATTCATACAGATGTGAGTGTGGTAGGGATTTCAGTACGTTGGAGCCCACTTGGAGGTAAATTATCTCGGTAGCCATGAGAGATATCATCAAAAAATTATCAACTGATAAACTGTTTATCATGATGTCACCAACATTTTATCAGTTTACGAAATTTTGATATGTCTCATGGCAACCGAGATAATTGAGCTCCACGTGCACGCATAAGGTTAGAAAGTTTACGTTGGAAAATTGTGGTATAATGAATTTCAAAAGTCGAGCACTTACTGGTATATTGACTTTTTGTTCAGATGATAGGATATTATCAAATTTTTGAAACGCAAATTTTCTTCAAAATAACTGTTTCATACTTTCAGGTTTTTGATATCTTTTATAGGAACCGAGATAAGTAAGCTCAAAGAGCACGTAACGGTAGGATTTTAGAGCATTAACGGTAACAGTACGAAATTTTCGAAACATCCAAAAAATTTTTGAGAAAAATTTCGAAATTTCAGATCCTCGACAAACCCCGACAATCACCGGAAAAAGATCGTCGGAAAGCGGCTCGAGAAGATTCTGCATTCCATGATGACGTCATTGGTGTACATTGACCGAACTGCAATGATTACTGTAGCCCCCAATAAAATGTATTCTCTTGATCTCTATTTTCACCCCACCACACCTAATTCTGTCTTTCCGGGTTCCTTTACTTTTTCTTGGAAATTTATATATTTTTTATTTTTGGTCCAACGGGTTACTTTTGTTTTGAAACCGTCTCTCTGTTGTGCTTATTTAAATTTAGAGAAAGGGACTTTTGAAAATTGACCCTCCCGGTGTCTCTTTTTGTGACTTCTTGTAAATTCTGAAAATGACATATTGAAAAAAAGAAATATATGGTTAATAAACTTATTTTGATTCCCGGTAACATATCGCAGATGAACATAAGTATATAAATTGAAGAGAACTTGAAAGACTAATTTTATGGAACAAAATTTTTTCGAAAATTGTGATTTTCAAATAATTGAAATGACTGTAAAACGCTCAAAACATGTACAACTGAATCATTATTTTCCGTGTTCACTTTCATAAATGTCTGAAAAATTCAGAAAAATTGTTGTTTCAAATACATCATATATGAAGTGAAATGATTAGTACCGGAATAGTCGATTCTAAAATGTCCCGTTGCGAAATGGTCAGTTGCAAAAGTATAATACGCCAAACGACCGGTTCCAACACATATATATTTTTTTAAAGTCAGAATGGTCATCTCCGAAACGTCCGGTTACAAAATGACCGGTTTTAAAATGCCCGGGTCCAAAATGGTCGATATCTAGGAATCGTCATTTTCTCGGAACATTAGAAAAATAACTGAGCCACCAAATCAAGATTGATTTGTAAACCCGTCTCACCTTAATAAAATCTTAACGAAACAGTGAAAAACGCGTTCGTCAACTGAACCGCGTAGCTTGGGCTCATTTGCCCGTTTTTGCTGATATTTGCATTTTCAAACCCATTTCCCTTAACTTTCTCAATATTGTACATTTGGTCAAGCCTTATCAATTTATCACATGACACATTTTTTCTTTCAAAACAACACAAAAACTAGTTATCGATCCCTTCTTATCATTTTCTTCCTTATCACATTTTAGAATTCGTTTTTCTGTCCTTTATTATGAAAAATTTCTATCAAAAAGCCCCGGGATCGTTTGTACGTTATGAGAGAAGGTAATTTAAATTTCTAAAAGCTTTATTCAATGAAAAAAATTCAGAAAAGACATCCAATTCTTCATCCGAGCTATTCTTGCAATCATATTCGTCCTCATAGTCTGTGGAGTTTTGGCATTCGCATTATCTGCAATTTTCTGGGCTGTAATTGATAGTTGGGACGTTTTTAATGATGGTGTCTCTTCAGAAAAAAATTCGCTGATTCACAGTCACTTCTTCAAATCCCACAACTCTAATAGTATGTTCTATTGAGTGTCGGTTTATTAAAAAAAGTGTATTTTTCAGAACCGAGCGCTTGTAGAAAACGACTTGTGGGATTTTTCACTGAAAACGAGCCACTGGAAAATCTAGAAACCCAATTCGAAAAACTGACTCATGTTGTGTTCTCATTCAACGAAATCACATGGGATGGATCGGTGCGATTCAAAAGTGAACGAGTGAAAAATCGATATTTAAGAATGAGAAATGTATCGGAAAGTGTGGAAAATGATGTGAAAATGATGGTTTCAATTGGTGGACATGGAAATTCTCAGTTTTTCACAACGCTGACATCAAATGAAATGAATAGGGGGTAAGTTAGCTTTCCTGGTTTTTGAGAGAACATGAACTCTGAGCTCAATTATCTTGGTTGCTATGAAAGATATCAAAAAATTGTAAATTACAAAAATGAAGTTGATAAGAAGACAAACATTTTTTCAGTTGATAAATTTTTGTTATCTCTAATAAGAACCGAGATAATTAAGCTCATAGTGAAAATTGCATAAGCAAAGTTTAAACATTTTTTATCTCAATAACGATTTTAGCCAGAAAATACATGTCAACTACAAAATTATGTAAAATTTTTTAATAAACAATTTTGTAGTTGACAACTTTTTTCTAGCTAGCCTAGTTTTTGAGCTATTCGGTCAACTGGACGGTGTCGACCGTGTAGCTACTTGAGGAGCTTTTATCAGGGGAGGTTTGAGTAAACTAGAAAAAAAAATACTTGAAGATTGAGTTTGGAAAATAATTAACTTGAAAAGCCTGTTTCACAAGGTTGACATACTTTATTGTTTTTTACAAATTTCAATTTCGAAAAAACACCGTCTTCCAATATTTTCACTTTCAGAAAGATCATCGATTCCATAATCCGCTTCCTTCAAGACTACAACTTGGATGGTGTGGATATCTCATGGGTACATGCTGGCGAATCAGACAAACACAATTTCGTCGAATTCCTTAAAGAAATTCGAACCAGATTCGACAGCTTCTCCGAGAGAAACCTCCTCTTATCTGTGACAACTCCCTCTGCCGGAATCGAAGGTTGGGAGAATGCTTACGATATTGAGGCTCAGAAAAACTACGTGGATTTCTTCAACGTCTATTCCATGGATTATAATGGACCATGGCCAAACCAATGGGGGACACCAGCTGGACCAATGGCACCATTATATCATGGAATTGGTTTAAGGAAGAATTTCAATGTAGATTGGACCATGAAATATTATGTTTGTTTGGCTATGGACCCCACCAAGTTCAACATAATCCTTCCAACTTTTGTGAGACTTTGGAGGAATGTCGAGGAACCTGTGGAGCCCCGAATCTCACTAGCTGTAAGGAATGCAGTGCTCAAAAATGGGATGGCTGAAGGAACAGCGGTTATGTCGCGGGCAGATGCTGAAGATCAGTTATTGGATTTGAAGAATAATATCACTTGGGATGATAAATTCAAAAGTTCCTATATCTATGACCCACTTGACAAGACCTATTTGGCATTTGAGGATAAAAGAAGTGTGGAGGAAAAAGTGAAATACGTGAATTCGCATAACTTGGGAGGATTGTGGATTTGGTTTGTGGATATGGATGACGAAAAGAGTAGTGTGTTGAGCTCGGTGTATACAGATGAATTGTGCTCCAGGAGCAGTGAGAATGTGATGAAATACCATTGTTGATTTCTATCATCTCAGTTCCTAGAAGATATATCCGTCAACTGTTGAAAGTCAATTTTGTTTGTCAACATTTTCGCAGTTTCAGTTTTTTATGTCTTTGATAGAAACTGGTAATTGAGCTCAATGTTCAAGTAGTGATTGTCGATCTCTGTTATTCAACCTCGTTATTTTTTTTCTTAATAAAATGTTTCCTCTTTCACACATGCAGTATTATGCTATCGTTTTTAAAGTTATGTATTCACAAAATATTGCCTTGATATTTCCAGTTTAAGTTCAATTATCCATATCTGTGAGTGATAGAAAAAATCTGTAAACCTTATAAAAATAGGTTAATAATAATGTTTATTCATCAAATCTCATCAGTAGAATATCCGAAATCTCTTATGAAATTCAATACTGTATTATTCTCATCGTCCATATCCACCGTCCAAATCCATACTCCACCAAAATGTTTCTCCTTCAAATAATCCATTTTCGCTTTCAAACTTCTCTCTGTTTCAAATGTCAAATACGTCCCTTCATCAGGATAATAGATAAAAGAGCTTTTCGATTGCTCATCCCACGTTAAAGGTGTCAATTTCCATCCTTCCATTTCCGCAAGTCTTCTGGACATATAAGCATCTCCTTCCGTCATATTATCCTTTAAAATCACATTTCTATAAACGTCTCTTCCCGGCTCCACAGCATCTTTCACTTGCTCCCATAGCCTCACAAATGTTGGAATTATAATATTGAAATTGTCCAATTGTCTTGTTTGTGACGAATAATACTGCATTGTATAATCCAAATTGAACTCTTCTCTTCCCTTAACTCCAGAATATAATGGTGCAATTGGACCTGTCGGCGTCCCCCATTCATTCATCCATGGACCATAATAATCCATCGAATACACATTCAGGAAATCCACGTGTTGAACTAAATCATCAATATCGAACCCAAAAGTTTGGTGCTCGATTCCAGCGGGTGGTACTGTAATTGATAAAAGGTACGGGTTAAGGTTGTCTCGAAGATTCTTGATGAACGCTGAGAAGACGTATTTTTCGGATTCAGATGGCCATTTCCAGAATATGTCAACTCCATGAACTTTGTATTGTTTTAAGAAGGAAATGGTGGACGATATGAACTTTCTGGAAAGAAAATAATAAGCCACCGATGGACCACCGACGGACCTACTACGGACCAACTCACCTCTGTCTACTCTCGTCCTTTAAAACTCCCGAAAAAAACTGGGCATTATTCGGTCCACCAATTGAAACCATCAATTTAACATCAGCCGTTTCATTCATCGCCTTGTTTCGTAGACTCAAAAATCGATGTTTCGATTTTTCATTTTTAAAATAAAGGGTTCCATTTTCATCCATCCGAATGAAGGCAAATAGAGCATGTGTTAATTTTTCAAGTTGTACATTTGTGCTGTCTTTGGATTCATTGTTTGTGTATACACCAACGATCCGTTTGAGGTATGGAGTAGGCGATGGGGTAGTGGTAGTGGTGGTTTGGTCTGGAAGTAGAAAGGCTTTGAACTCAATTTTATGAATTTTTGTAAGGGATTTCGAAACTCCATAAACTACCAAAATATTGTTGATGTTGTGTGGAGCATTTCAACAGTTGACAAAATTTTGATATCTTTTACAGGAACTGAGATCATTGAACTGAAAGAACAACTTAAATTTATCTCTGTTTCAAAATGTTAATTACTGATCTCCGAATTTTTGATGCATTAATTTTGTTTGTGCTTAAATTCCATAACCCTCATGAAATTTCAATGAAACTTCCGAAAAAAATTCTCACTATCAGTGACATCCGGACAAACAGCCACAAGAACAAAACTCACTTCTATTTCCACCATCCAATTCATCATAAACCACCCAGATAATCGCTGAAAATGCCAACGCCATGACTCCACAAATGAATAGAACTGCAAGGATTACTGTAGACGCTTTCTTCCATCCAATTTCATTTAGAGACGCATCACTCGAGTTCAAGCTGAAGAACGACTTCAAATTTTGATAGAGCGTTGAACTAAAATTTGAAAAAGAAATCTTGAAAATTTGGTAAAAATTTACCTCGTTGATCTGATCGGTAGAATTGGGTTTTCATCGGAATCCATTTCGGGAGAATAATGAAGAAATATATTTTTTATATTGCTAATTGGAACTGTTAATAGGGAAAACCTGATTTTTTCGAATGACTCATTTCATTCCTCATAGTTTTTTTGTTTGTTGGTTTTTTCGTTTCATTGTTTGCTAAACTTTTTCGATATCTTTCAATTACTATGTTTCGTGATTAAAAACAAAATTCATCATTAAACTACACTGAGAGTGACAAAAAATTATATTCAAAATTTTCACTGTTCCATGAAGGTTTTTTAAAAGTTAACACAATGATCCTGTGGCTTTTTGATAGAAGTTTGGCATAGTGAAGAAAGGAAAATGTTCTAAAAGGTGATAAGGAAGAAAGTGATAAGGAGGGATCGATAACTAGTTTTTGCGTTGTTTTGAGAGGAAAAAATGTGGCATGTGATAAATTGATAAGATCTCGACTAAAATATCCTAATAAAGTATATTCAAAAAAGTAAATTTATTAGAAATTTTGGAAACCGTAACTTTTTGAAATTAAGGTAGAGATAGACAGAGGAACTGTTTAACAAGATATGGTACAGGATTGGTGCAAGAGAAATATAATAACAAGATCAAAAATTGATTATCAACGCTTTATGACTCTTCTCGGCTTCTTGGCTGGATTTGGCTCATTGACCTGATTATCCTTATCAACTGACTTCCTTTTGATGGCTTTCCTGATCTCCAGCGCCACTGGATTCTCGATGATATCCCTGGCATCACAATTGCACTGACGGAAAGCTGGAAGACCCAATGGACACTCCTCAAGCTGTTCGACCAAATTCCATCCATTCTCCTGCATTTGAGCTTCCGTGAGATGTTTCTTTTTGTGTGGAAATTGTCCCGGCTCGATGATCAATCGTTCCTCCTCGGTCAGCTCATTTCGGAGAAGTCTATCGATCTTTTTCTGCTTCTGGATTCCCTCGAATTCATCCTTGGAGACTGATCTTCGTTCTCTGGCCTCGATTTGTTTCCAATCCAGAATCTTTTGGTACTCATCCTCAGTGAAAACTGGGTTGCTGGCTGGTCGAGTGGTACCCATCACCGCCTTGTAATTCAAACAAATTAGGCATTGATCTTCTGAAGTCGTGGGTTTCAGGTGCTTGGTGCAGTTTCCACAGGCCCATCGTGGTACGACTTCTGGATGAGCCAGTACTGGACATGTGCAGGAGGATCCTTGAAGTGCTTGGTTCTCAAAGAAGTGGTAGAAGTTTTGGGTTTCAGCGATGTGGTAGTTTCTCATCTGAAAAAAGACTACAATACATTTTTAAAGATCTCATGTTTCAAATATTCTTACCGCCTTCTCTTGGAACTTTCTTGTTGGAACCTCAACTCTCGATCCTTGCTTATTTTTCGTGTCATACAACTCCTTGAATTTCTTCATTTGAATTTTGGTCAGATTCTTGAACTTCTGTGGGAGGATCTTCAATTTTTGATCGATTGTTTCCAATGCTTTCCCGATGTCGTAGTCGTGGTGCATCAAATTTTGCAGGGCCACCTCAAATGGGATTTGTCCTTCGAATTGATACCAGATGGGCAGGAAGTATGCTGCTTGGTAAGATTCATGATCATGGAATGTTTTTGGTGATGGAGTCCACATGGCTTCTTCTCTGTCTCGTTCATCATTATCATACAACTTTGGGTTGAATTCCGGAAGATCCGCTTGATACTCCTCTCCTACTTTTACATTATTGTCCTTCGCTGTCGGAGCCGTCTTTACTTCTAGCTTCGCCTGCTCGCGGATGGCTTTCATAGACACTTGTTCATGGAATGGAAAATGGGTATGTCCCAAGCCAATTGGAATTTTGGTGCCACGTGCTGGAAGAAAAAATACATTCATACAAGAAATTTGGAAGTTATAGTTGATGGGATTTCTAGGCCATGGTAATTGAGGTTTCTAGGTCATGATTGTTTGGTTTTCTTAGCCCGATTATAGGGGGTTCTATTGAGATCCCCAGGTCATGGGTTTTAAAGGTTTATAGGCCAGGATTATTAGAAGCCCGAACACGGGCCTAGGAATGTAAAACTGACTTAGATTCGTGATTTATGATACCAGAGGCTCAATGAAATTTCAATAAAGTACTCACTTTTCGCAGTCACAAATGGAACTGACGCAGTCTCCAGAATCTCCTCCTCTTTGCATCCAGATTTTTGTAGAAGTCTTCTGCTTTTCTTGGCTGGTACAGTAATCGAAGATGTAGACTTGATGGCAGACATGATTTAGAGTTTTCTGGAAAAAAAATTAATATGGAAAATCGGAAAGAAAAAAACGACGAATCTAAAACGGAAAAAAAAGATTTTTCAAATAGAAACGTAATAACGACTGTACAACGGACCATGAGAAGACTATCAAAGGAGAAAATAGATATATGAGAATATAATTCAGTATGGCAACCCATGTTCCCACCTGAACACCATCAGCGCGTCTTCACCTTGCCAGTTGACTCCTTCTTTGTTGGGACATCGGGACATCCAGGTGTAATTAACAAACACTCCTACAATCAATGAATTGGTCTTCTGGGAAGGCACTGTTTCGAAAAATGTCGAGTCCTAGTCTGAAATTCAAAAAGTGGTCCAGTAATCCAAAAATAAGAGATTTTGAAATATCTAATGTCATAGTTAGGCACCACAACAAAATTTTCAAAATAGACTTTTTCTCATTTTTATTGTTGGATTGTCTTCTCCTCCCTTATAGAAGTATATTCCCAAATTTTCAGCGAAAAATGTTCTCCCATTCTCGAGATACAGATCCTTTTGTACCAGACCTCGATGTACTGACTTTCTCCTCATCTTTTTGCGGTGCGCAGAAATTTGGGCGGGGCTTATCTTTTGCAACCTCGCGGCACGGAAAATTTGTAAAGGAAATTTAAGAAAAAGCTAATAGACCCACAAAGGATTCGAACCTCTTTCACCCTTCCATATACTTGGAATTGGTTTCCATTTTGATTTTAACTGTTTCTCTATTATTTTCGAAACTTTTTGTTTTCATCTATTTTTCCACAATTTTCAAAGGATTGTCCATTGAAGATTCTAGACAAACCGCATATTTTTGATTTTGCTCAAACTATTGTCATTGGTCCTTTTGGACACACTGATTACAGAACTAAAGTCAGTTTTTCCACCCCGCCCTTGTGAAAAAAGTTATGAGCTATAAAAGTGACTACAGCACTAATTTCTCATTTTTGGAGTGCGTTTCTGAAGGAGTTTTTGACTTTTTTTTTGGCTATATTTAAATGTTATCCGTATTTTGTATGGTTTTCTACAATCTGAAGAGATTTTCTCTTTTTTTTTTTTGGAAAAAAAATTCTTTGAGAAAATCGCCATGGGGTACCCCCTTGGCATTTTTTCAATTTTCGAAAAAAAAATTTTTAATGTGATAGAATTAGTTCAAAACAAAGAGATTCAATAAAAAAGTTGTTTCACGAGAGTCGATAACCTATGTCCATTTCTACAAGTCAGATAGGTCACCGGAAAGAACGAAGGAAAAATTCAAAAAAAGTTTATCAGCTCGAGGGAGTCGAACCAGAGAGTACCCGCTTCATATTCCTCCTCACTAACCATTCGACCACGCTTCCACATTCTTTCAATGCTTCAAAACTTATATACGTGAGGAAGGAAAATGAGATATACGTGAGGAAGGAAAATGAGAGACGTCATTTTTCGAAACTTTCGACCCAATTTTCTCGAAAACTACCGCGACAATGCACTTTTTGAAAACATATTTGGAATCAGGAAAATGTCAGCTTTCAGATGATATAGGTCATCACCCGTATCGCCACACCTGAGTTGGGGCCTTCTCTAGTCAGATCGTCGCACGCGCCCACTATCCAGTCGGCCACGGCTGCACTCTGAGTGTGGGCATTAGATGGGAGACATGAAAGGGCGGCTTTTCGTTTTGAACACTTTCCGGAAAAAATTCCAGAAAATGTTTTTAGTTTTCAAGATTTATGTTTAATTTTTTGTAAGAAAAATACCGAAACACGAACACAAGTTGAAAAGTTTGAATAGTGATCAGTAGATTATACGTTCCCAACCCTTCAAAAAAAAAACAAGATTTCACTTCACGGAATTTATCAGGCTAGCCGCTGCCGTCCTCGGCCGGNCGAGGNTTTCTCGGCTTTTGGGTAAAAAGCCGCGGCCGGCCGCCACTTTGTACAGCCTTGGATCAATCAAAATGTTTGGATTGTTTTCAATTATTTTTTAACCCTATCTTCCTCTTAAAAAATGTCATTCTGAAAATTCTACTGTTAAATTATCAAACAACATTTCAATTACCCAAATCTCATAAAGATGTCGAAGCATCGTGTGTACCTGAAAATTTACCTGTTTCATATATCCCACAAGTTTCTAAAAAAAGATGATCGACAGTCCGGTGTTTTCAATGAATCCAAAAAAAAAAATCAGTTCACAACTTTCAAACTTCCGAAACTTTTCGAAATTTTCAAACTTGAGCTACCCAAATCTGATTGCGCTGAAAATCCATTATCTCATTTCTCATTGATTTTCGAACCATTTTTGTTGCATTTTCATCTTTTTCTCACTATATATTCTTTAATTTTTTCCATTCCAGATATGAAGCTCAAAAGCTCATCGTCTTTTTCTCAACCTGCAAAACGAGAGCAGTTATCACCAGAAAGTCGGAAATTTTTATCTAGGTTGGGTGTATGGAATTGCTGAAAATTGCTGAAAAAATGGAAACCCGGCTCAAAAATAAACAGAAACTGATCCGAGAATTATTTGCATTCTCTGAAAATCTATTTTTCCAGAATCCCGCCACAGAAGTCGCACCTCAAATATCTTCCTCGAAGACAGTGGTATTCCAATGAAACATCGTGCGCCCGAGCCATTAGAGAACATCCAAAATACATTGAAGATTCAGAACACAAGCAGGAAGATTTCGGAGTTTTCTCTCCAGAAGTATCCGGATTCCCAGATCCACCTGAACTTCGTGAAGGTGTCAAGATTCTGAAACCCAATCAAATCTATAGTACTCGAATCGGTGGTTCGCAATTTCTTGTCGGAAATCAGTGACTGAGGCTGGAAGAAGGGAAAATGGGGATTGGGAAAAGTGGGAGATATGAAAAGGAAGTGATGGAAATGCTGGAGAAGTTGTTTATGGAAGTGGACGTGAGATTTTTTGGTTTCGGAAAAATCTGAAATACATTTTCAGTACTTTCAGATAGTTTAACAGAATTGCTCAAAAGACAATAATGGTGTATCAAATTTTTAAAAATTTAGTTTGATAAAATTTTTAAAGGTGGGGGGACAGGAGATTTTACGGGGGATTTTCGGGGCCAGAGTATGCATTCTACCGTGACGGTGTACAACGCTTAATGTCACTCTGCGTACAGCTGTCGTCCTCGCCTTTATGTATGCAATCCGACGGCCGCTTTCACCTTGCCCGTGTAGCTCAGTCGGTAGCGGCGCCGCACCCTCAATCCTCGCCCTCACAAGTTCAACTCCTCGAGGGGCGTATGTAAACGGAATTTCGAGAAAATAATTTTTTTCATGTCCCCCCACCTTTAAAAAGCTGCAAAACTGTTTCCTTGAGTATTGCCAGTTAGTTAGTTCCCTGAGGGGGTTAGAGCCGTAAGAAAAAAATGCCGTGCACATGCACTTTGAGCTCCATTATCTCAGTTTCCGTAAGAAATATCAAAAAAATGTCAAAATGTCAATTTTTGATCTTCAATATTTGTTGTTCATTCAATCACTTTGAATGTGAAAACAATTCAAATTTTTCTGTCAAAACTAAGAAAATTTCAAAAACTTCAGAAAAAAAATTATATCAAATTATTTTGCCACCTTTCATCAGAAACAATGTTTGTAAAACAGAAAATTCCAGACTGCACTTCAAATGGAAGTTTCTAGACCAGCAAATGGAGTTATCGGCCATCAAGAAGTTTCCTAGGTGATTGATAATAAATTTAAAAACTGAAGTACTTAATGGAACTGATACGAAGTAGTGTCTCAAAATTTATGATATTTATGAAACATGAATTTCTCCCATACACTACAACACTCTTCTCCAGGTACTTGGACTCGATGATAATGACTCCAATGGAGACAATGATCCAATCCCAGTGCAGAACGTGAGCACCCGAATTCTGAAGAAGGTTATCAGCCGGTGCCAATATCATTATCAAGACACTGCTCCAGCCGATGATCAGGGAAATCGTGAGAAGCGCACTGATGACATCGCCAGCTGGGATGCCGAGTTCCTCAAGGTCGACCAAGGAACTCTTTCCGAGATCATCTTGGCGGCCAACTACATGGATATCAAAGGACTTCTCGATGTCACCTGCAAAGCTGTTGCTAACATGATCAAGGGAAAGTCTCCAGACGAAATTCGCCGCACATTGAACATCAAGAACGACTTCACTCCAGATGAGGAAGAGCAACCTAAAAAAGAAGAAAATAAAAGAAGAACGCCTGGTGCGAGGATTAAGCACAAGTTTGAGCTTCTTCTACTTGTCTGATCGATTCTCTTATTATTCATACACCCCTTTTTCAGTGGTCTCTGTAAACTTTCACAGCTGTCACTCTCCATCCCAAACATCTTTTCCTATCACTCTAATGATAAAAGCCATTTGTTTGTCGCCACAACCCCCCCCCCCCCCACCCCCTTTATTGATTCCCCTATTCCTGACGACCCGACCCAGCACTTTTTATCGAACCTCTACTTTTTTGTACATTTTCAATGGTTCTAATAAAGCTAATCAAACAAAACAAAGTAAAAGCGAAAGTTCATAAAATGCCGTACTCAAATGCTAGTCTCGTACTCAAATTCCTAATACGAAATTCCAGAAAATTCTGAAATTAGCATGTCGAGTGCAAGACCGTCGTTTTCAACTTGATTCCAATGGAGAAAAATGATGAAATTTACTGTTTGGATGAGTTTTCAGGTAGTTTTAAAATGCGAAATATTCAGTTGAGACAGTTTTTCCAGTTTCAACAAACTGATCCAAATCAAAATCTACTATCGACTATCCATAAAGCGACTCGTGCAACGATACAATTCATTTTTGATTTAATAATTGATCCTAATAATTTTATATGCATTTTGGTTTTTTCCATAGCAATGCTGTTCGTTGTTGTTTTCTCGGAAATTAATAAATTTTTTCTTTTCCAAAAAGTTTTCATTCGAAAAATGACTTCCATTAGAAGTGTTCACTTTTGAGTTGAACAATGATCCAGAATTATTCGATTTGTCTGATAATTTCAGAACATGCTAAACAAAAGCAGAGCTTTATTTTTGTAACTTTCCACTTATTTTTTACAAATTCAGAAACGCGAGATAATATGTTTCAAAGTTACACAACATCTATCAAATACAATTGAATACTTATCATTTGCATGAATCTACTGAAACATCGTAAGTAATTTGAAAATGAAGATAAAGTTTTTTTCAAAGTTTCATATTTGTTGCAAATCCGTTTTCACAATCCTCTTCTCTCGAAACTTCGTTTTGTACGTCGCAATAACCAATTTTTCCTGTTCCATTATTGTTGCAAGTTATAACATGCCTTAATCGAATAGTCCGATGGTCGTTTTCCATTGCTCATCTGTTTTTTTCGCAGATCTAAATGTCCCTATTTTTTTATAATCCATTTTGTACTCCTGATTTTCCCTCACTCATCTTTTGTCATCCGTATAAGCCTATTCAACAGACGAAAAAGTTACCGGAATGGCATATGGACCATCAAACAATAATAAGGTCTTCCTTCGAATTGCTCATTGTCAAAAAGATTGTGTATTGGGATGTGCATGAATCGATTACTCATGATTTGTTACCTTAAATACTCTAAAAGGTTCCAGACATTTTTAGATTTTGCAAAACATTTATTGTTTCAGTTTTTCTAAAATTGAACATTGGGTAAATGGTTAGTGTTGTGGGAAATGGTGCCATAAATAGATATTGTGGGAAAGTTTTTAAAAACTTCAGAGAACATTTTCTCGATTTTGTTGTCTATGAAGGAATTTGAGCTAGTCTTCAATATATAAAAAGTCATGCGCCATTAAGCTACGTGCTAAGCTACGCGGTGCTGAACGACAGTTCATATGAAAGGCGTTCGAAATTTGACAAAATATATACCGATCATTTTTTTGAGAGAATATGTTTTCAAAAAATTATCGTTTCACAAGTTTAGTAATTTGAGAAACTCTAGATTTAGATACTGAGCCACACGTATACACTTCGTAACTTACAGTTTCCATGATATACATATCAATTAGATGAGCACCAAGGTTCAACAATGTGGTCATAGCTCAAACTCAAACACGGTAAGTTCTACGAATAAAAAACCTCAAATTCAATTAAACATACATGTTCACTGAAACCGTAATTGCTTTTCTCTGCAATTGTTTATCTTATTGGAAAAGTTTATGTTTCAAGTATAGTGTTGATTCTAACCTCATGCACAGAGTTTTTATTACTGGGAACAGAATATTGATTTTGAAATTTTGTTTAACAAAAACTAGCTTCGCTTGTCGAACCGTGCACCTTTGAAACTTTTTATTATATCCAGGTTTTTGACTTACTTTTGTGTAGGCTTGCACACATGGCTCCTTGTGCGTCACAATTTCCACTTCCTCGTGAGGACACACATTTCTTCTGGAAAAATTGAATTTTAAATGATCACAGCTTCGCAATCAGGATAATTCTGGAAAATTCACATGCGGACAATGCTGATTTTCTGTTAACATTTGTTTCAAAAAATTACTGTCTCACTGACTTTTCAATTTTTGTGTATGATTTCCAATCTTTAGTCCTCCCTTGTTCCCAAACCTAATCACGTAACTCTTGTTGAGAGTTGTATAAAACTAACAAAAAGGTTAGAACACCCCCAAATATTATGCATCCATATACCATCTATTATATTTGTTTGCTTTTTCTATATAAGTATGCCTCTACCAGACCACCCGGAGCAGTTTCAATATCATTTGCTTATTTATTGTCAACAGAAACGATATTAGTTGAGAAAGTGGTAACTTTGTTGTTTCAAAATGTTCAATTAATGAATGCTAGCTTTCAGTCGACCAGATTATATAACTGAAACACGTTGATAGGACAATTTGAGTTTCTTAAAGAATCCAAAGTGGGCTCCACCGGACAGATTTTTGCTCAGAATTTTCCTGATCGAAGTCATCAAAACTAGACAAATAAAAATAAAAAGTTTGGATCAGAAAAAAATTGCTGTTTAAGGAATCTAGTATTAGTTTCGGAAGTTCCGTTTTCTCCATTTCGCATTCATGCTCCGCGTCTGTGTTCGGTCCCAATACCCTTCACCCAAAAATGGGTAATAAAGACCAAAAACTATTTTTCCAGGACACTCTCCGTGTTTCTAATCCAATGAATTATTCCCCGACCCCATCCGATTTTTCCACACATTTTCCCCATCTTTCAAAGTTAACAGCCTCGGGTCCACTTGTCACAGGAAGGAACGAAAGGGGGGAAATCATTAAATACCTTCTTCCTTTCTTCTTTTTCCACCCTCATTATGTGCTTCTCTGTGTGTAAAAAAATAACGGGACAGAAGGAAGAGAAAGGAATAGTTTGACAAGTGGGAGCACTGGATCATAAAGTGCTCCATCTTCTTCTTCTTCTTGATAATGTATATTTTGGGAAGTGTGATCCATGGGACAAAAATCAGAAAATCTCAGTTTCCAAACTTCCAGAAATTTATTTGAAAGTTTACCAGCGACGACTTACTTGGAGAGCTAAAAATTTAGAAAATTTAATTTGACTCAATTTCAATGTACCAAACTGGAGCTCACTATCTGTTACCACAAGCCAGTCTGAAATTTCAATTGTACGTTTTCGCATTTGTCTCCCTTGATCCACCGTGTGAATTTATTCAAATTGTTATAAAGATAATTCATTTAGTGGTGTCATTTAACAAAATTTGCTAGTTATATGCTGAAAAAAACTCCCAAAACTTTCTGTTTTTACAAGTTATCATAGAAAGCTTTCGGGTTTTGGAATTGATATTATATCTTTGGCCTTATTTTTGATTTGTTAATTTGAAATGTTTTATCAAATTTCAAAATTCGCTGTACCATGATTTCGTCTAACGACATGTTAACTAGTTGTTCCCCAGTTTATTTGTGGAACTAGGGAAGCTCATTGAGCCACCCATATCTTGTATACAAACACACCAACATGCATAGATATCTGTCAATTGTTCATTTTCCATGTTCCCCTCAATGTCTTCTAAACCGACAAATCGTATTCTCGAAAAAAAGACGGAACTTTCTCTTCTTCTCCTTTTCTCAAGATTCATTCGACGTCTTCATATTGTGCATGCAAATTCAAATGTGTTTTTCTATTCTCCGCCGCGGTGTCCTTCATGTTTTTTCGAAACCAAAACCAATTCAATCTGGGTGTGGCCATCATATAATTCTAGGATACTTGTGTTATGCTTTTTACCTAGATTCTCTAAAGCTTCGAAATATTGGTTTTCGAAACATGGCGTCACAGCGGGATGTCTTATATTCACAAGAATAGGGAGCATGTTTAAAATTGCTGTTTCTTCTCCTTCCTTTTGGTTTATGAATAATCAGGGTCACCCTAGAAGAAGAAGAAGAAGAACCACTCTTTTGGGATTAAACGAACTTTTGGGAATGGGAATAGGGTCAAAAAGAAATTTATATAGCTCTCTATTTCAGTTTCTATACAATTTTTGAAAGTATCTTTCTGACGAAGTGATATAAAGTTTCTGGTTATAAAGGGGAAGTGAGAAAATGACTGTTTCAGTGACACAAAATAGGATTTCTTTAAAGTCTCAATGAATATTGGTCGTGCTAAAGAAATGAGGATTTTCAGAAATCTAGATAAAACTGAGAAATAAAGTAATTCAGAATATTGATGGTTTTGATTCCTGATGAGTAGGAGGAGAGGTCCAACTTTACTGAT